TATATTTATGGTATATTACAACAACGTAAATGATTTGAATTCAACGATTCACTAAATCTAACAATAACAGTTTATTAAATATTTACTGAAGACGAAAAAATGCTTATTTTAAAAAAAAATTAAACTTAAATGTATACTTAGAAATTATTTTAAACTTATCCGAAACGTATGACATCAATTGTCATTTAATAAAATAATGTATGGTATTTCGCAGATATTATAATTTAGTAATTTACTAAATGTAAATTTTATACTCACCGTATATTTGAATTTAGAACAATTACCAAACTTGTAGGATTTAAAACCAAATATTTATTTGAGAAATTCTCTTTTAACAAAAACTCCAAGTTCTCATCCAAACGCAATCCAAAAAATTTGAATCTAGCAAAACAAGAGAAAAGACAGAATTTAGTCTTATTGTAATGATCCAACCTGCCAGTAATATTATCAGTATTACGTCTAAATTTGTATGGTTTTAAAATGCCGATATTTTTTTTTGTATTTTGTCGAGGTGAGACTTCATATCCTACCCTAGGGTGTCACTTATATCCCCTCTTAAGTATTGACTCAATGTCTTCGTTAAGATTTACCCTATTGCATGAAATTTGTCTAGATTCAGCACTGATTTGCCCTGCCATATCGAAATTTAATTGAACTCTAGCCCATAATTCATATCGACGCTTGCATAGAACGACTCTAATACCATATATAACGATCCAAATCGCTAGTGATATTATTCGTTTTGAATCTAAACTCACGCAATTTTAAAACGTGGCATTTGAATTTTATGTTTTTTTTTTTTAAGTTAAAAATGGGAAAAGGAATTTGTACAAAGACATCACTAAAATATAAAACCTACTTATTTATATATACAACATCACTCTTGTATTTTATTAATATATTTTTTTATCCCACACTGAGATGTCATACTTATACAAGTAAAATCATACTCAATTACTCATATATAATGTTTACAAGGCAAAATAATTAAATGAGGTAAGAATATACATTAAATAACTATAATTTAATGAGAGAAATTTATACTCAAACACATATAGTGCGTCTATTATTAATTTTAAAAGTGTTGTATAGAAAGGGAAAGTTTCTTTTTGAAAAATGTTTTAAGAAAAATATTTTCCTTCAGGCAAGGTATGCTCGGTACGTAGAAGAATAGGCTTCCATTAAAAATATTTTTTGAAGGTGTTTGGTAACTAATAAGTCGAACTTTTTTTTATTTTAAAGCCTTTATATATATAGTCTAGCAAAACATTATACTAGGATTTAAGACTTCAGTTGCATGAATATTATGAGTTGATAAAAACAATAATATGTGATCGTGATCGTGATCGTGCTCGCTTGTACCAACAGTACTAACGGCTTTTTTATGCATTCTAGGAGGGCACAATTAGTTGTATTTAGTTTCTTTCTGTTTTTTTAAAATAGATATAGATATATATGCATGATGTTTTTTGAAATTATGCATATGGGTTCGCCTCTGACTATAGTGATGAAAGGGGGTGGTGTGGGCTGGATGGTCAGGGATTGAGGTTGGGGGCATTAGGTGCATGAGTTGAGATGATACAATAAACATTGAATGTCACTCAATAGAATTTGTATTCCCTATTTTTGATATGAAAATTATTTTTCTTATTTTTAAGAAATTTGTTTTCCTAAAAAATTATTTTCTAAAAATTTTGTCCAACCAAATATAAGAAAAAAAAAAAACTTTAAACACACCCGCAGTTTCAATGTTTTTTTCTTTTCATATATATTACCGGAAATAAATACCAAATGAATATTTCTTCTTCGATTAAAAATCAACGAATTTTATTTCCCTAAGCCAAAATAGGTACCTCTTTGTGCAATATGCTATGCATAGCCAAAGATAGGAAAAAAGGAATTTACTCAACCTGTCAATTTCTTGTTTTAATACTCCCCTTGTCCCATTTTATGAAAAGATTTTACTATTTGAAAGTCAAATAATTATTCTTTTACGAGTTTTTCAAATTCTTAAAAAATATTTTGAATTATTAATTGCGATTGCTATATCATATACTACAGATAGTAAAGAGTAATTTAGTCTAAAATGTTATTTTGATAGAAAAAAAATACTAATTTAATGTCATATATAGGAAATCATATCATGAGCATTTATTATCAAGCTATATATACAGTCACAAACTCCAATTATGGAAATGTCTATAAAAATAAAAGAATGATCGAAATAGATCAAGAATGTGCAAGAATTACAAGAATAATAGAAGCAGAAATTCAACATGCACAAATTTCAGATAAAATATGAAATTAGATTTGGAAAAACACAAAAAAAATAGAAAGTTCAAGTAATAACCCTAGACTTTCTATAGGGTTATATATATATATATATATATATATAATAAAAAAGTGATACAGCTTAGTAATTAATGGGTAGTCTATTGGAGAACTGAACATATAATTTAATAAAATGCGGCGATAGAAAGCAATTCGTTGAAAGTGACGGATTCTTTTTAAGGATTTAATTAATGTACATTTGTTGTTGCATGTAATAATAAGTTAAACTTATCAACTTATTGTGATTAGTTTATAAATGACATGTGCACACAGCACACTCATTGTCATTTTTAAACACCCACTAAATTTTTGAACTCGTGCTCTTAATTTCTTCATTATTTCCTTGTCATTTAGGACCAAACAAAAACAAAAACCCTTAAGATTAAATTATACGGGTTTTTTAATATAAATATTAAATTAGTACTTGTACTTCTCCACAGGATATTATATACTAATATTTATACCAGATGAATCAATATAAAATATATTTAAATCTACTCATTGATCAATGACGTGAGATTAAAAAATCATAGAGGATTTCGGTTTAGGTTTAGTAAAAGTGAAAATTGCTTGAATTTTTTTCTGTTTGTGAAAGTTTTGTCGGTTAAATATTTACAAGTACTTAATGAAAAAGTTAAATATTATTATAGTATTTAATTATATGATAAAACAATATATATATATATAATATTGTAATTTATGGCTTTTATTGATAGTCTTATTAAAAAATATATTATTTTACTTAATTAACTGAAACTTAAATATACTTCGATCTTGCAATATGAGTGAAATACAATTCCGAATTCTTGTCAAATTTTGAAGTCTTTTCAATACTTCTCTCATTTTCAATATTTGTTTTACTTGAACTTTATTACGTATACCGAACACCGAAAGGAAAAAAGGAAAAAATATTTTGGCAATTAATATTGGGTAACGTGCTGTAGGTGCAGAATATGAATTATGTAGACGTGATATATGCCATGGCTTTCAATGTCCGGTCTTTCTGTCATCACTTTACTCTTCTAATTCCATTTCCATTCTCTTCTCTCTCACTACCTTTAATTTGTACTTGCTCTTTCCCTAAAAAGTTCATCAGATATGCTCTGCCTTCTATTTTCGTGTCTATTGTTTTCGTAACCTATTTATTACTATCTCAATTCAATACTTCTTCGATTTATTTTTATTTGTCAAATATATTTTTCATCATGTTAATATGAGAAACTTTTGTAATTTATAGTATTTCTCGTAAATATTTAAAATTTTAAAATATTAAATTAATGAAATTCAATATAACTCCAAAAGATTAATTAAATTGATTCTTGTAAAGTGAAACGTGACTAGTAAAATGTGAACATAAGAAATAAATAATAGGATGAATGATGATGTATATTATTCTTTCCGCCTCAATTTATACGATGATTTTCGGATTTATGAATTTAGTGAACTATTTTTTATATATATCATGTAAATATTTTAAATAAAAAATATCACATAAATTAAGATAGATTTGAAATTTTGGTAAAACGCTCAAAATTAAGAATATAATGATACCTATAAAGTCGAACTACTACTCTTTGTTTTTTGGCATAACTAACAGTGATTAATAAATTACTTTACACGCATTTTAATTATTTTACGAGCTACTTGCTACCTTCCACCATAGGCATATATGGCATAATTTGGTAGCTCTTGTATAGGATTTCTTTCTGGGCAGTACGTACCGATGGGTAAATGAAGGACGGGAAGTTCATTTAATTTCTTAGAAGATGTGAATATACACTTGGTTTTTAAAAAAAATAGAGAAGAAATGAAATGCAAAAAAACTTTTAAAATAGGGAAATAATATATATACATATATTTGTGTTGCTGAAGAAGCTCACTAATGATCTTTTGGATATTTACAAGTGCTTCAACTAGCAGAAAACTCTGACATTAATGCTACTTGTGAGAATGTGGCTTTAATAATAGCCTACCAATAGCAGCTGCATTTATATGCAAATGACCACACATCATTTGCAAATTAGTAAACTTTTTCAATCTTTTTCTCTCTATTTATTTATTTATTAAAAAATAGGAACATATAATTACTACTGGTCTGCATACATATTTACAACTTTACCCTATAACCTTAAAAGAATATAAAAAATTTATGGCATAATTTAAGCAGAGACAAAGAAGAATTCCCCTAAATGAAAGTCTAAAAATCACAAAATGAACATATTATACATTCATTCATTCATTTAACAAGAAGCTATACATCTAATTACTTTCTCTCTTTTTTCTGTCTTCTCATAAAGCACACTTTTTTCTTTCCCATATATATATATATATATCTCCAAAAACTTTATAATAATCATAACATATATTATCATTTGCCTTTTCATCCAAGCAAACTCCTCTGAAATCCCATCTTTTTTATCCAGTCCCTCTTTTGTCCCATACTTTTTATTTCCTTTTTACCCTTTGCTCTGTCAATTTCAGTCCTTCTCTCCCAGATATCCCTCTTGATTTTCTTCTCTTTATCACCCCCCCCCCCCCAACACCCCACCCCAACATACTTCCAAAAAAATGTCTTTATAATTCTCTTAACTCACTCTGAAGTCTTCAGTCTTTTACCTACATTCTTCACTTTTGTTGTGTTGTTGTTTTAGTACTACTATCTATCTTTTATGATGGAACACCAACAAAACTATCAACACAACATAGAAGATGGTGGTGTTAGTAGCAAAAATAATAACAACAGTTTCATGTGCAGGCAAAGTAGTAGTCGGTGGACACCAACAAGTGATCAGATAAGAATATTGAAGGATCTTTACTACAACAATGGAGTTAGGTCTCCAACTGCTGAACAAATTCAGAGGATATCTGCTAAGTTGAGACAGTACGGTAAGATTGAAGGCAAAAATGTGTTTTATTGGTTTCAGAACCATAAAGCTCGTGAAAGACAAAAGAAGAGGCTCATTGCTGCTGCCTCTGCCACTGATAATAATAATAATAATATCTCTCCCATGCAAATGATTCCTCATCTTTGGAGATCTCCTGATGATCACCACAAGTACAACAACCACACTAGTACTAATCCAGGTAAAAAAAATTAGTATTGTCTTTGAAAATAAAGCGGACTACCTGCTACAACATGTTAAAATACATTAATAGTTTACGAGTATATATATATACAGGTGTTCAGTGTCCATCAGCGTCTTCACATGGGGTATTAGCAGTGGGACAGACTGGAAACTATGGTTATGGAACTTTGGCTATGGAGAAGAGCTTTAGGGTAAGTTTGGTGTTTGTTAAACTCCCCATCCCCTATAAAAATAACATTTTGAACCATTTTCAAGCTATATATAATGACAATCCACCAATCTTGGGTTAAATTGTCCCTGTTTACTCCTTTATTTTTCTCACAAAGTTTTGTTATTGTACACATGAAATGAAGAAACAAAAGATATATATAGTCCCATAATCAAAACAACATTTTCCCCAAATTTATGAGTTCCTTCTATAAAGAACTAAATACCCTTTTCTTCACAACAAAAATATGAGAACAAATACTGATCAACTTGTCATATGTCAAATTTTCCTTATTCTATACATATAGTATATAAAATTTGCAACATTTGAACTAGAAAAAATAAACAAGATTTTGAAATTGAACCCTAAATTTCTAATAATTGTTGTTAAATGATTGAAACAGGAGTGTTCAATATCACCACCAGGTGGTAGTTCAATGAATCATCAAAATTTCACATGGGTTGGTGTTGAACCTTACAACAATATGAGTACTACTTCTCCAGCAACTTACCCTTTTCTTGAAAAAAGTAACAACAAACATTATGAAGAAACCCTAGATGAAGAGCAAGAAGAAGAAAATTACCAAAGGGGTAACTCTGCTTTAGAAACTTTGTCACTTTTCCCCATGCATGAAGAGAACATGTTCTCAAATTTCTGCATCAAACATCATGAATCTTCTGGAGGAGGATGGTACCATTCTGATAATAACAACTTGGCTGCTCTTGAACTCACTCTCAACTCTTTCCCCTAATTACCCCTAAATTATGGAGGGAGTTATATATTTTAATTTTAGTCTATCTTATGTTAGTAGTAAGTACTAAACTAATTTGGTGGTGCCAAGATATTGGACCATATGGTAATGTTAATTAACCTTAATCTAAGTTGTACTAATATTGTTAATTAAAGTATGGAAAAGTTTATTACTCTTTCTGTCTCAGTTTATACGGTTCTTTTATTTTTAAATTTTATGTTCAGTCAAACAGTGTCAGGTAAAATTATGTGATTCCATGTTCTCGGTAGCAACTTGCAATTTTAAGTTACTATGGGTGGAGGAATTTTAGTTTTGATAGGCACTAGTCAGTAATTACTAGCAGACAGTAGAGCAAATATTGTACTGTTTGTACCTACACCTACGGTAATATACAACCTACATCCCATGGGTTTCTAAGCCAAAACATTAATTGAGATTGTGAATTCAAGATGATTAATAATGGAAGAATTTAACATTGTGCTCTCATAATATTTTTTTAAAAAAATCATAAAGGTTATGACTAGGGGCAGAATTTCATTCGCTTTTTCATTATTTACTTTTTATATTTTGAATTTTCTTATTGAAATTTTTTTACTCTTTTACTACATTTACAACATCATGTAATTGTATATGTTAATACTTAATATGGTAACCTAGAAAATAAAGTTAAAAACTATCATAACTAATAGTGTAGAAATTATTTATACCGTTAGGGTATGAATGTTAATTTTGTTCGGTCAGGGAGAGAAATGTTTGGGAATATATATATCCTAATTCCTAGCTACTTACTAATAATTACCCTAATTACGGGTAGTTTCAACACTAATAAGTAAATACCAATAATTGTATACATGATTTTAAAGAGGAAGAGTAGAATAGGACAGAATGAATCTAAGGTTGAAGAAAATCTTGGAGAATAATTTTAATGATAGAGGATAATTAAATCATTCAATATAAATATCATAAGAAGAATATATATATATATATATATAGTAGTAATATATTGGTTACCACTTACCACATATAACATGTAACTTATAGAATTGTCTTTATTGCTCTTAGAATTTTGGTCAACAAAGTGTCTATATCATTGAATTTAATTATCATCTCATGCGTGCCTTGAGCATTTCTGTTTTACATCTCTTTCACGTGGAATAACAGATATATTATGGTGTTCCTTTCTGAAATAACTTCAGCATTTTTATTCTTATACCCTCTCCTTTCACACACATTTCATTTTTCGAGATTCATATTGACAAACATTTAAAAATGTGTATTTTTTTCTTTTCAAATTTAAAATAATGATTATTCTAATTCAATTTAGTTACGAAAATTAGTCAAATTGAATCTTGTAAAGTGAAACATGACAAGTAAAAATGAATGGAGGAAATAATATGTGTGTAGTAGTTAGTAGTCTATGTAGACATTGAAATTTTGTGGGACACTACAAGACGTGTTCAATTCGAATTGGGACTCTAGAAGGTGTGTTCAGTTTCAATTAGAATTTTTGAAAGCTACTCAACCCTAATCCCTAGTTCATGCCTATATAAAGGGTACTAAATTCCGTGAAAAAGCATCTCAAAAACTCCATAAAGAGATCAAGATCTCGAAATATTCCACAAAAGTCATGGAATATTCATATAGAGGTCAAATCTAAATCATCCTAGTTCGAGAAATACACTACTAATGGCCCTCGAATCATGGATAAATCTAAGGAGAGCATAATCAAGGGAGGAAAATTATTATACCCGCAATCTTGATGAATAATATTATGTTTCTTCATATTAATTTATGATTGCAATTTATTTTCTATCACTTTAAAATTTGTTGCGAACAGTCTATATTTAGGGTTTGATCATGGTCTTGGTCTCTTGGATGATCACTATTGCACTTTAAAGTGGACATTTTTTCCCATTATAACTTTTTCTAGTTTAGTTAATATCACCTTATAGTGATAGAGATTTGGCATAGACCTCTACCTTGTACAAATTACGTTAACTGGAAAGATGTATATTAGGACATCTCTCCAACTTGACCATCACTTTAGGTACTTCAACCGGTTTAGTAGATTTGAAGAGCCTGTTTTTTTTTTAATCGCTCCCTAACAATGTTCACAACATCGTTGAAGGTGAAAAGTGTTTAACATCTGAACCACACGTCTCGTCAGAACGGCCTGTTTACCAGACCACATGTTCATACAGAAATATTATCTGAATGACATGAATTCGGATTGTGTTTAAGATGGAGATTTAGAGGACATAAGAGACTTTGAAATGACTTTTCCAAACTTTATCTTACCAATAAGTTGCCTTGCCTGCTTTCCCTTTCCTAAAAGATTTGGCATGATGTTTACCAATTGGACAATTCGTACTACTTTATACGTTTCATTGCATTCCATTTTTTTGGACAAAATTTTACATTCTATTCTATAAAATAATAAAGATAAACACTATTTCTATATTTAAAACTTCTTAAATTCTGATTATTTTTTTGTCCTTAATTTAAGAATGGACACGAAGCAATATTTTTATAAGATACAAGAAGTACTTAAAGGGATCATTTGGTTTGAAATATAGGGTGTGTTCGGCAGGTTGGAAAATGTTTTTCAAAATATGTGAGTCCCTTATTTATTTTTATGTGTTCGATATATAAATAAAAGATATTATTAAAAAAAAATTAATACACAATCTAGAGGGATGAAGTACAGTGAAGATTAGATATATTAAAAACAAAATATAATTAATATAAAATGTCATTTATGAAACTTATTTTCGTTGACAGCCTATTGGCCAAGGTAAAATGGTAGCGCGTCTATGACTCCATAACATCTAAGGGAATCCTAAGCTTGTATAGTCTCAACCTTTCGCAGCCTCATTAATTAAAGGGAAAAAGGATGAATTTACCCCCGAACTTTGATAAATGGTACGTCTATGCCCTCCGTTATACTTTGGGTCCATCTCAGCCCCTGTCGTCCAATTATAGGTACACACATGCCCCTCTCACTAACGGCCCCCTCATCCTATACACGTGTCTTAATCCTAATCAACTACCCGTTTGATCATTATTTTTAACCCATAAACTAACAACCCGCCCCATAAACCCATACCCACCCGATTCCCTCTAAAATATTCAATTAAAAGACCCAAATCTTCCGGGTCTCGTTCCTATCTCACAATTCCTCCTACTGTAATCTATTTAGTCCATGGAAGAATTCTCTTCACTTCATCATCACCATCTCTCATTTTTTCCGTTACTTCTTTTTCAATCTCCATTAATTCTACACAAACTCTACTCATTTCTCCCTGTCAATTTTCAATTCAATCACTATAAAATCAAAAACACAAAAAATTTGAGAGTTGAAAAATGAGAATTGAGTGGAATAATTCAAATTTTGGAGGTAGAGATAGCCGAGATTTCTTCGCCGAATGTGGACTCTCTACCTCATCCTCGCCGGAACCAAATCCAGGACAAAATTCCGGCAACGCCGGAATGTTCAAGTCAAAATTACGGTGGCTGATTGTAGACCCCACGCCCTCTGACGTTGTAACTCCGACACTAGCGCTAATGCTACTATTAGTGTTACCGCCGTCGTAGTGACACCATTTGTGTCCTCCCAAAGCTTGTCCAGTAGGAAAACACTTGTGGCAAATCGAACACTCGTGAGTCTTCCACTGTCGTTACCGTTACCGGAGATAGTAGTTCCGGTAGCATTAGTAGTAGTAGAGGTAGTCGACTGATCATCTCCTCCGCCGCCACCGGCGACGAGTTTCCGATGACTAGTTTTATGTCCTCCTAAAGCTTGATAAGATCCAAATCCCTTACCATAAACCGAACACTTATACAACATCTTCTCCTCCATCTTCTCCCACGGCGCGTGGATTTTCATCACTGTCACCGGCGATGGTAGAGATCGTACCTGATTAACAGAGCCATCGCTCCACGCAAGCATAATCAAACAAAGCGCCAAATATCGCTCTTCAGTCGGCTGGCGATCCATACTCCGTGGCCTCTTAGATCTCTTCCCTTTAGTCCAATTCTCAAGGTACCGAAGTTGCTACTGACCTTTGCTCTCAAATTGAAACGTCTGCGATTTGAAGTACCAATTGGAAAATTCAAAGCTTCAAGGGCCATCTCAATATCAATTTGATTGAATTATTCGTTTATAATGAGACCCGGGAGATTTGGGTCTTTTAATTGACTTAGGATATTTTAGAGGGAATCGGATGGGTATGGGTTTATGGGGCGGGTTGTTAGTTTATGGGTTAAAAATAATGGTCAAACGGGTAGTTGATTAGGATTAAGACACGTGTACAGAAATGGGGGGCCGTTAGTGAGAGGGGCATATGTGTACCGATAATTGGACGGCAGGGGCTGAGATGGACCCAAAGTATAACGGAGGGCATAGACATACCATTTATCAAAGTTCGGGGGTAAATTCGTCCTTTTTCCCTTAATTCAATTACACAATAGAATATGGATAAGAGTATCTAAATCATTAAATTAGACAATTCCTACATAGTAATATCTTGTACCCTCTCCATTATCCAGTTCAACTTATGTATTTTAAGTTTTAACCAAATAAGAACTTTATGAAAATAAGAAGTATACTTTTAGCCCTAAAGATTTACTCTCCCTCAATTTTAATTTGTTTGTCTTATATTTTTCTTTTTAATCTATTTTAAAAAGAATGTCTCTTTCTTTTTAACGAGGATCAACATATCTTTAATTAATATTATAAAATTCATAAGTCTTCTTTTTATTTTACGTCAAATAGTAATCGATAAAATATAGTACTCCCTTTTTTTTTATAACACTTTAATTTCAGCTTTCCAAGTGGCATGTTTAAGACCACAAGATTAAAGGACAATTTTGTACATTTGACATAAGTTTAATTTAGAACCACAAAATTCAAAAAATTTGTTTATTTTCTTAAACTTCATGTCAAGTTAAACTAAATCATTCTTTGTGAAACGAAGGGAGTATATTTTAGTTGTTATTTTAGACAATGAATGGCGCGTGGGAACAGTGATGTTGAAGGATTTTTATAGGGGACAGATATACCAAGGGGGGAGGGGTCGGTGCCCTAGCTCTGAAATCCTAATTAGTCTAATGGGGCTATAGAGCAAAAAAGGCAGTCAGTGACAGTCTTCCAATCCAAATAGTACACTTTATAAAAGATTTTCCAATGATCATCATTTTCTCTTCTTCTTTTTTTGCTCATCGTAAACTGCAATAGCAAAATCATGAGCTTTGAGAAAATTTCAGCAAAAAGTATCTGCCCCCACTATAATGCGGCCGTTATTTTGGAGCTAAAACAGTCACTAGTATATTTTTTGAGGTTTGAACCCCCACCCCCCCCCCCCCCCACCTCTACTAGTGCGTGTCTCCTCATCATACATGCTCCTTTTCACTCTCTTATCTGCATTTTCCACAGAGAGTTCATTTTTTTCATAGGAAATATAGTTTACGGGAAAAAGATAAATTTAATTGGATTGTGACTACTGAAATTCGAAATGTTGCATGCAGTACTATATAATAAGTGGGAATCTGAATTATATAACCTCTTGACAACTGAGCCCATATCGGATAATGCGTGTTATACTCTATCTATATTAGAGTATGTCAAGGCAAACACCATTTTATTCCCATAGAAACTGATCTTGCATAGGAGTAATATCTATAATTTTCATATCCCTTCTCATTGTGAAGTAATTGTTTCACAGGTAGATAGGATCAAGCAATAATGTTCACCACTTAAAAATGCAAAATGTCTAAAGTTTTGATTAAAAAGAATCGGTAAATAGTTGTAACCATAGTTGTAAGAAAAGAAATATATTACATCCACGAATTTCAAATCCTGAATCCTGAAACGTCTTTTACCATTTTAATAAGTATAAATTATAGGAACCACATATTATAAGTATTAAATAACATCCTATCCCTTCTAGTTTTCTATTTACCAAAAATCCCTTAAAAATGATGTTTGCCGGATACATAATGTTGTGCACGGGATACATTAGGTTTGATACATTTCACATAGCGGAATACATAGCGTTGTGCACGGGATACATTAGGTTTGATACATTCCACATAGCGGGATACATAGCGTTGTGCACGGGATACATAGCGTTGTGCATGAGATACATAGCATTTGATACATTCCACATAGCGGGATACATAGCGTTGTGCACGGGATACATAGGTAAATAAGGGAATTTTGAAAGTTGTGAAATAAGTAGGGATAAATGAATACTAAAGTAAGTAAATGAGTGTAGTTAAGTAATTTGTCCTTTTAATAATAATAATATATAAATGTCTTCCAGTTGGCCTAAAAGGAAAAAAATCCCACCACACATTTTTTCCCTTATATCTTCTATATATATATATTTTTAATGTAAGCAATTAGATGAAGTTACCGATAAACTCATTCCCAGGCAAGCAACCCTCGAAAAAATGGAGATAATTATGACAGGTAAAGAAAATGAGTCATGAAGAAGCAAGTCACCAGACTCGAAAGAAAAACAGACAAAGCTATCTAACTGACAAGTGGGCCACTGACGTCGATGGTCCAGGCCAGGTATGGTGATGGGCACATATAACACTTCATTCACATTGTAGTGAATTTTCTTCCATCAAAAGCTTCCTTGGTCCCACTGCTTTCAAAAGCTTCTTTTTTCTTCTCTCAATAATTAATTATATCAAGCCAGTCCCAATCACAAAGATTTGGCTGGGATGCTTTCCCATATATGGTTTGACAAGTTTCTCATACTTTACTGGTTTTGATGACCCTCATTCCCTTTGGAGCACTGTCCACTTTAACTTATACTCAGCATGTCGCCAATGACGAAATTATGGACAATGCTTCTATTCCTAGTTCATGGATACTTGGAGATTTACTTGTGGATCCAGGATGATTTTTTTAATCTACTTGTACGTAATGTCCTTTATGAGGACATACATACCATACAATTTGGCCACATTTCACTTATTGTTTCTATTTCACCCCTGCTATACTTCATCAACTACAGAAACTCAACTAACATGGTCGCTCGCTTACCAACTCTAAACCAATCAATAATCGTCTTGAAAAAATTCAAACTCAATAACATGGTCGGTCACTTTCCAAACAAAGAAATTCACCTAACAAAAAAGTATACATACATCCTAAGAAATCAGCATTACATAACAGGACATATTCCAAACAAAAGAATCACAGACTATAGTAACTTTTGATAAGATTCTCCTGTATTGAAGCAAACCAAAATGTAAGTGAACAAAGCTATTGCATCTCACAATAGAGCAGGGAAACAGTACAACCCCAGTATAGGAACGGAACATCAGGAAAATAAATGAGTCAGATCAAGTAATTTACAACGAGCAAATATGGAGATACCATCTAATTTATCTACCGCACTATAAACCCTGAGGGGTAGCTCAGCTGGTAAAGGCCTGGGACAAAGTCCTTCAGGTCGCCGGTTCGAGCCCCAGCAGGGCCACTGGAGGCATTACAAACCGGCCGCGTCTCCAGGGCCCCGTGGAACTAACCGTGGTGGACCCGCCTTGAAACAGCGGGACCCGGTGGGTACAGCTAGTCGGGTTCGCAAAGCGACGCCCGGAAACCACGGTAAAAAAAAAAAAAAAAAAAAAAATCTACCGCACTATACCTGATATTGATAATATCAATTTCCTCTTTTCTTTTACTTTTTTTCTCGGATGTAAGAGGATAGTCAGCTAATGCCATCGGCATCCGACTGTCTCTGCAGATGCTGCATCTCCAGAAACAGTAGGATGAATCGAGACTTACTAGGAGGCAGAGCACCCGAAAGTCCAATCTCATTAATCATATGAGAGCCTAAGTGTTGGAAGTTCCATTTGTGACAAAACACAATGTGGTCTTCAAACAATCAAATAAAGTTTCATGACAAATCAATTCAATAATAGAATTATACCACCACAGTTCTCAGCTTAGACCAATCCTTCGACCTCCCAACTACTGATTTTTGGTGTAGCCAACACTGCAAATGTTAGACAGAACATCAGTAAAATGCAGAAATCAATGATATCAACTAGTCTATATTTTTCAACAAGCTTTTCATATTTATACTACTACAGAACCAAGACACTATGCAGCATCCATAAGGGGACTTCTAGTCTCTAAATCGCATCATTCAGCAAAATAGGAGGTATATTTATCTTCCACGAACTTGCCTTGGAGACAGAGATTAGGATGAGCTTTCACCAAACTATTGTCATTATGGTACTACGATAGAACCAGGACATTACGCAGCATTCACAAGCAGAAAGAAAGGAAGAGAATGGAGTGGTTAGCTCTCTGACCTTTGAACTACTGCAGTGCTTGTTAATGTTCTACACAAATGGTATCTTTCCAGTTGCTGAACTAATATAGAGAAAAAAAACTTGGATGACAGTGGTGTCCGAGTTTGTTAGTGGACACCTCGACTATTTCACCGGGTACCTACTACCTCCCACTAACACAGTGCCTGCCCACCAAGACTTTGGCAGATGTGAATAAAGCATCTAGTGGTGTTGCCTCCACTGGGATTTGAACCCTAGAAACCTTATGGCTCTTCTCACATTTCATAGATCACTAGGCCCTAGCACATAGACATATTAAAGCTAAGTGCTTGAGAATAAACTAACCAAAAGCTGTCCTACCTTCTACGGAATCTAGACTCCCCTTCAACCAGATAAAGTTAACATGATCAGCGCTCAAACTCAAGAACTGTTCTGAAACACCTAAACACTTTACCATTTACCTCTGTCAGGCTACTCAATTGAGGCAGGTGTTCTTAACAGCTTTCATTTTCTTTCTCCAGTATCATACAACCATTTCATTCGATGACTATGGACATCAAAAATTCCGCATAGGCTGCTATAGCATGTTTCAAAGGAAGACAGGGTCAGAAAAAGAGAGAAAGGGAGTGGGAGAGAGAGAGGGGGGGTGTCCTGAGTCCTGACAAAAATACATCACCATAATGATGAAATTATCACAAATACTTAGAGCAGAGGTGTAATCCATAATTGTCGCCAATGTAGCACTGAAGGGGGGTGTCCTGACAAAAATATATCACCATAATGATAAAATTATAACAAATACTTAGAGCAGAGGTGTAATCCATAATTGTCGCCAATGTAGCACTGAACAATTTCTTGTAAGTTCATATTTTGGAGGTATGGTTATGGTCAAAGCATTTAGCATATATTTAAACCACCACCAAATGTTATAAACACAATTGGAGCAAAAACCTGTCAATTCCACACACTGTAACCAAAATAGAGGATTGTATTATCAGACAACAATATCTTTAAGCAGTAAGAACCAGTCGCATCAGTACACAGCAGTGTCTCAACATAAAACAAATTGATAACATGCAACAACTAACCAGTGGAAAGTTAGACATAGAAAAGAAATTTTAGGCTCTACATAAAGAAAATTTCAGTACCTGATCGTCCAGTGTTCAACTTCAGAAAGCACTCTGAGGAGCATACACTATGATCTGTGAAATCTTAACATCATGCAGACAATGCTCAGAAGGAACAATCCAATAGGTTTTGGTGGCCTTGTTCTATCACTTCCCAACACATGGACAACAGTATGAAATTCCTCTACTTTCTTCCCACATAAGCTGCTAATTTTGACAAGTCCGGGATCCAAAATGAAAGCTCAGAAGAACCGGTCACAAACATTAAGCTTCCTGGAGCCCACTTGATCATAGGTGGTTCAGTATCTGTACTCATCCAACTGGCTACCTAAGAGATGCAAATAGAAGAATAAGATGAGTCAATACAAGCAAAATTAAACAATATACAAAGATCTCTTCTAAGCAAAGAAGCTTCACCGCTTCTGCATGGAAGCAGCTGCTTGAAATCTTCTTCTTTTTTTTCCAATTCTACCTTTAAGTGATACATTTTCCCTTACACAACTAGCTATGAATCTCCACTTATTTCACAACATTTTTTTGCTCTCTAAAGCTATTTATCACTAATAATAAACAAGTGTTTAGCTATAAAATTAATTCTAACAACATTTTTGTCATCCCATTCTCGCAAGTGTGGCATGATACCAAGAGAAGTGAACTTCCAGATAGTAAGGCGGAAACACACATGCAAGAGCAGCAATAGAGAAGTGAGGGGGTGAGGAAAGGAGACAGTACTTGACTGATCCCTATAACTAGCAAAAAGAAAAAAACTGATCCATAAAGCATTATATTCCTTCTGGGAAGACTCCTTTTCTTATTTACAACTATAGTTTCCTGCAAGAGAACACCACCATTACATGCAAATATTTGATAGTAGCAGACATAGGGTTCTGTTCATACTTCTTTACTGCTCCGGACACTCCAAGCATAAACACTACCATCACCTGATCCTACAAGGTGATTCAAAGTAACATGTTATAAATTTTACCTTCTCTTTCTTTTGGGAGGAGAATGGCATAAATAAATAAATTTGCTTGGTAAAAAACAATTCTATAACTATAAAACTCGAATATGACCTCATTTCATTAGGATATGCATCTGAGGATAGAGTTAAGAAGAACAAAATGACCCTAATTGGCTATAGACAAACTGAACTTATGCATCCAAAGCATTTATAGGACAAAAGAAACTGATATCCATACACCCTTTGGCATTTGGATTCCGCCATAACTCATTGGTTTCTGATTATGCAGCTTCACGAGTTCTAATAACTCAAGTGATTCTTGCTTTCCCAATTAAATGACAAGTTGCTAACTAAAGCAATAAATGAATAAGTTTCTCTTTTTCTCCTCCTCTCTCTTAAGCTGAATGAAGTTCTTCTAGAAAGATTTAACTACTAAACCAGGTGACGCTTAAGATCATCTCACCACTAACTACTGAGCACAAATTTTTTGTTTTTTTAGTGCACCATTTCCATTAGGGGTACTTTCTAAGTTGCTATAAATGTACTGGTGAAGAGACTCACTAATGAACAAACCAAGTCTGAAAGATAAAAGATAAAGACTATCTTAATTAAATGCAGTAAAAGGGAAGGAATTTTTAAGCAAATGCATATATTCTGCCAGTAAGAACTCATGACATGCAAGTCAATAGCATATTAGCATTCACAGTTTTGTCAATCAATCAACCAAGACTCAATTGTAAATCTGTTGGTGCATGCTACAATTGAATCCGCTTTACTCATGTCCATTTATTTTAATCCTAAATATTTTGTCTTTGAATGCAAATTAAGGGTTCTTTAAACCTCACACATTCCCCTACAGAAATAGTGAGTTTAATCCCAACTTATCACCTATCTGGATCCTTTGCTTTTATTATATTCTTATCTTAGCTAAGTTTGCATTGGTGCCCGGAGATTTTAGGTCTTTTGAGACAACTACCTTACATGTGATTTAGGTCTACCAAACGTGCGTTTAGCATCTTCAATCACTACAGAGTTACACTTACCACTACTGCATTTGAGGCCTACATACAGTATTCTTGGGATCTACGGAGGACAAGACAACCATTTGAGTGATTTTCTCTCACTAAATCCTGTGTGTACTACTTGCTGCCTCTGTTGAAGAAATCACTCCTAATACTATCCAGTAAAATACTAAAACTGTTAGAGAGGATACTTCTATTTATATATATTTTAGGCATGCTACACGTCATTCTTTTTCTTTAGTCAAACACTCGGGAAGAATTTCTTAATGATTGGCAATGAGACTTGAACCAATCTCTTTCTGCTCATCCATGTTGGTTTATGGGAAAACCTCATCTAAAAGCTTAAAATATTGGAAAAAGGACACTTATATTTATTTATTTAAGGTCTGCAACACACAATGTTAACTCTTATGATAGGAGATCTCAAGATATCAACCAAGCAGCCAGTCAAATTCAAGCAATCTTTCTTGAGAAGTTCAAAAAGGGCGATACACCAAATATTTCAGGAAGTTCAAAAAGGGCGAGTCAGAGAAGTGTTAGATTACGGGAGCCCAGCATGAATATCATGACAAAACCATTACCTGATATAACAAACATTCCTTCTGGACTGAAAGATGCCTCCAGTGTTGAACTACTTGAAACGGGCTGTACATTATACGTTGATAACTGCAGGAAATATCAGCGTAAATGCAGAGCCTATTTAGTCACAACAGTAAATCCAAATGCTTTTGGAATTGAAGGATGGAAACAACTCACATGTGTGCCACGGGAAGAATCAAGCACATGAATATGCCCATCCTTAGTTGTCAAAAGCACAAGTCTCCCATCGTTACTGAACTTAACGCTGTTAGCATCAGATACATCTCCACCAACAGAGAAAATTTCAAAAGGTCCCTTCAAAGAGTTAACTTTCGACAAATTAATGAAAGCTAAAGATGCAATTGACAAATATTATGCATGCCAAACAAGTAATTCATTTTCATGTATCAAATGCAAAACCTTGTCGAAATAGCGTGCGTCAAACATCCTTATATATCCTCCAAAAGCAATAGCAAATACAAGGCCTTGCTCATCATAAGCAGTAGCCGGTCTTCCTTGCACTCGAAGAAGGCCCTAAGACCAGTAAACTTATCAATTAATCAGATAAATGAAGAAAACATTTGATAAGAACAAATAATGTCAATGAGGACTTTACCTGGCATTTCTCAGCTCTTTGATCCCAAAGTAGAACAGTTCGATCAAGTGAGCCAGAGATAAAATACTCCTTTCTATAGCATAAGCTAAGAGAGACGACCCTGCAAACGACAAATACAGACTTAGTACTGAGGATTGATATTCAATGGAAGTCAGACAAAGTTGATACTGCTTAGAACTGTGCCTGTCACGATGACCCTTGAAATACCGCAAGTACTTGTTGTCATGCAATGAAAGAAGTCGTAGAGATTCTGAAACAGTCCATCAGACAAATTAGTAATTCACTTGTTCTGCTTTTCAAGGATTATACACCGGAATTTATCATCTTAAAATAAGGTGCATACCATCCCAACCATTCTTGGAGGAGTATATTACAGTTGTTGGATGAGAAGTGAAGCTAACCAGATCGACCCCGTACTTTTTGCTATTAATAGTTTTCAAACACCTGCAGTGATGAATATATTACATAGCATCTCCAACAACATTGAGAAGAAGGCAACAAGATAACATTTAATGAAAAGAAGAAATATCCAACAAAAATGAAAAAAAACACGGAAGGAGAAGAGACCGAAGAAGAGCAGTTTTCCCAAGTTTTTCTAATAGAAGCTCTTTCTGATAAAAAAGATGTTTCTATGAGAAGCCACCCTGTTGATAATGATAAAATGTAAAGTTATTTTATGAGGCCGAACATGATGAATGAGAAGGCCACAATGATCTTAGCTCATATTTGAGTCCAATAACAAAATTCTTTTGAGGATTTCTAATTTTGGGTTTAAAATTCACTTTGTCAGGCTTGATTGGAAAGGAGCAGATATACAGCAGATGATCTTTTTTTTCCATATGTGCCTTTCCTTTTTAATTTGATTACATCAGGGAGAGGGAGGAGGGGAGACGGGATGCTACGCTAGTGATGGGGTTTGGAAACCTCAACGGTGGAAGGCAAGGAGCTCACCAAGTGAGCTAGCCCTCAAACCCACCTCAGCAGAAGATCTCAAACTTCTGTTTTTAATTATTTCGCGCTTCTCAACAAATGCTCATCTAAAGTAGGACACTGATAGTCAGGAGATGATTACAGGGCAAAGTGTGGTTTTGAGAAAGCCAACTTGCTTGAGAGACTTTTTGAGTACTTCGGCACATTATTGCACCGTTGAATCTTCAATGGACCTTTATTAACATAGATGACATAAATGGAATAGCCTATTCAGGATTTCTAGCTTGTTATTTTTAGTGACAAATTGTTACTTCCACTAATTTAGTGCATCATAAGTATAAAGAGGATGACTTCACACCCCAAATGGAAATGATTAATAGATGTGAAAGGAATTTAAATGGTTACTGGGTGCAGCAGCACATCATTTTTTGACAACCAATACGCCATTTTATTAAATATTGCTCTATTTGGGCAGGGAAAGAATATTCTTATATATTGTAAGTAGAGCTCTTGAAAGAACAAAGTTTTAACTTTTCTAATTTATCACTTATACAGAGGTGAACAGAACTGTAGCACTGCCTGCCAAAAGTACCAAGAAACAACAATAAAGAAAGTATGAATGTTTAATTAAATATACTGCCAATAAAGTAAAGGTAAAGATGCTTACGTTGCATTTGCAACATCATATAGACGTATGGACTCATCATCACTGGCTGTCACCAGAAAATTTGATGTCTTATGGAAATCCATTGAACTGATTCTACCACTCTGCATGTAGACGAGATCTATGTCAATATTAAATGCTTACACAGCCTACACACTTTAGTGAAGAAGAAAAGCAGTTGTTTTAGCAAGGATCACACCATAGCTCTTGATAGTTGGTCCATAATACCATTAGTCAACCTTTCTAGACACAAGGTATTGACAAGAATATACATTAATTAACAGATAATGATCATAGTGTTACGTTTCAAAAAAAAAAAAGATCATATGACTACAATGTTCTTTTAGAGCTCATTCTATTTGTTGTACAAGGAAAAAATAACCACTCGTATATAATTATATATTACCAGTACAATGATTGTTTTTATGTATTTGTATTACTAACACAACTCTAATTTACTACTATATTATAATCGTTGCATGAACAAAACGACCCTCAATATAATAATTGAAAGGGTCTTAGTACTCTTGTCAAATAGAAGCAAACATTTGTGCATCCATTATGCATACCTATGTATATTCCTCTTTTCATGAAATGGAACGAGTAATAGAAGTGTTTGTTTCACTTCTCCGACTACTTTAACAGCCACAAATGCAAAACTTTAAATTAGAAGAAGGTTTATATTGGTCTTAAGTATTAGCTATCATCAAAATCATAAATGATGATGAGGCAACTGTATTAAACCAATAAAAGCTAAAATTTTGGCTTAGAAAAACAAGATTTTCCCCATTTAAAGGTCAAGCAGCACTTCTGCTAGGGTTGTCCTATTGGATTTGGCAGTCAGATAACACATACTGCAATCAATTCCACCATTGTTCCTTCTGAACTTAATATTGCCCTTGAAGTAATCAACAGCGCCAATGTGAACAATACTACTAAAGAAGGGACAAAAAACGAGGACAATTTTTCGGCTTTTAAAATTCGGTTTCCTGTAGCTTATGAATGCTTAAACGAAAGAGTTATCCAAATTCCCAAACTTACATAGTCGCGAAATGTCATGCCGACCTCCATGCTCTGTAGGATTTCTTCAGTGGTCTCTAGTGAGACCTTGTCTTCTCTGTCAGTTGGTCCACCTGAGAAAAACTGACATCGTCAAAAAGCAACAGAAAATAATCAAGTAACACAAAGATAATTCAATTTACTTCATAATTTCTACTGTACCTGCCATGGTGCTCTTCGATAACAAGCGAGTTGCAGATTCTTTTTGTATTGTATATCACCGACGACGGAAGTTTACAACTGAGAACTCGGGCGGGGAGATGTCGCGTTTTCTCTAGGACTAGGATAATTCCGGACCCGTTAGAATTGGGCTTAGTCTAAAGGCCCTGCTTTTTTTCTCTTGAATACGAAAATTTCACTATTTGTGAAAGCTATGTATATTCTACTAAAATTTTGCAGTACATTACATCTTAAATAAATCATATATTTATATATATTATAAATAAATAAATATTTGCTATTATATGTTATTACATTTTATTTTTAAAAAAATTATAAACCATGAAAGATTACTATAGACAACCAATGTTTACACGTAAAGAGCACTCCAAGGAATCATAATCTAAATGTTAGTCATTCCGAGCTTCAAAACCAGCAAGAAAAAACAACAAGCTAGTTACAAATTTTCTAAATAAACGATTGCACTTCCTAGATTTCCTAAAACCTTTTACTCACTCTATTTTTTCAATGATCTGCTTCTTTATCTGTGCAACCACTACATTCGTAGTTACATTTACTCCCTTTACGTGTTTCCAATTCCTTGCCTTTCATGTGTGGTAGATTCTTGCCCCTAAAATTATTGTTGTTAACTCTTTTCTGAATTGTCTCTAATGTTACTCTGTTATCCAACTTAAACACGATTGCACCTGTTCCTTTTGCACTCTGCATCTTGACCATCTTTCCAGCTCCTTCTGCACTATTATTGTCCACCTCCATCTCCTTGTTATCATCACACATACAACATGTTGTAGCGTCCACTTATTACATATTTTTAAATACACATAAATTTAATAATTTAATAAATCAACAATCCTACTAACTAATTATTTTTTAATATAATTATACACACCCTTTTCACAAAGAGCATGAGTTCTTTTATAACAATTTAAATTGTTTTTGTTTTATATTTTATGGGTCAAATTTTAAGTTGTTTTAAAAAATTGAAATCACAAATTTGCAATTAAAATTCTAAACTTTGAAATGAGTTTGAGATTTGAAACACAAATTTCAAATTTAAAACTTCAAATTTTAAGTCTAAACTCCCAAATGCGTGATCAAACGCCTACCTCGCAAGTTAGGACCATTTGATCTCAAATTCTACTGACCCAACTAGGGATTAAACTTTTATTTTAACTTTTAATGCGAATTTAGCAATACAATTAGAAACTACTGTGAGCTTTGAAATTTGTAGATGATAATACAAACAAGTTCACATGATTTTTTATATTTATTTGGCTTAAGTCATCGACAATTTTTTGAAGTTGTTCGCATAATTCACTTAAACACCTTAACTGGGGATTATACCTATTGAACACCTTGACTATTCTGAATTTGAACCATTTAGACACTTTGTGCACACGTGGCACAAAAAATGTAACTCACACCTTGTTAGGCGCGTGAACCATTTAATCAACACCTTTTTAGTTTTTTCTTTTTTATTTCTCATTATTTTATTTTTAAAAAATAACAATCTTTCTTTCTTCTTTCTCTTTCAAAATTGCAGACCTGCTGCCACCAATTATTCATAGCAACAAAATCTACCACCTTACATTTTTTTTATAAATTTTCTTCTTCTAAGCTTATGCTTAAATTTAATAAAAAATGGAGTCAACTACCCTCATTTCCTTTGTTAGAAAAAATGAAAAATATAATCTAAGTTTTTTTATTGGAAAAAATGGAAATCACCATTCCGAAAAATAAGGAGGCCACACACACTGCCTTCGATCCACACCCCTTCTTTCTTTGTAACGAAACAGAAACATAAAGTAAATTTGAAATCAAAACAAAAAGAGAATGAACAAATTTTATTTTTTAAAAGAAAAAAAATACTATTAATTTTGAAATAGGAACAAAAAAGAAAGCATTAAGAGAAAAAAGAAGAAAATAAATTCATACTTAGTTATGTTAAAATCTCGATTTAGAAAATAACAATGGTGAACAATAGGTGATTTTAGTGAGAGAAGAAAAGGAAAAGTTTGAGGTGGTGTCGGGTGCACGGTGGGTGTGAGTGAGGGTGAGGATTTTTCTTTTTTTTTTTTAGTTGAAATTCTTTTCTTTTTAGTTTTAGATTTTTTTTATTTTCAAAATTCATTTATACAATTATTTTAAAATTTAAATGCCACATGTCTTTATTTGATTTGTTATTTTGCCACATCAGTTGCAACTGTATTACACACACATCCTCTTTTGATCAGGTCTTAGAAAAATGTTTGATAGGTATTTACTTTTAAAGGTTTGAGTGTCTAATAGGAAAAGGGGCATGTTAATGTGTCTAAGTGAATTTTGCGGACAACTTTAAGGGTCTATAGATGACTTAAGCCTATTTATTTCTATTTTTGTTTAGGAGTAGGAAACATGTGAACTTATGACTTTTACAGTTTGTGATAAAATCTTAAAAGAGACTAAAATGTGATTAAATTTTGAACATTTGAAGGACTGTTAATGCTCCATGCTTACTTTGAGAAATCAATGATTCTAAATCTTCACGCTATTTTGATTGTCTTGAACCAAAAAAAATCTTCCATTACATCTTACATGTAAAATTGGAATTGGGATACCTCTTGTACTTCTCAAATCACCTTATTGAAAATTAATATGCACAACTACAATACTTGACAAAAATAAATAAAAAAATATTGCCAAAGTAGAATAGATCCTAAATTTCACTCTGTAGCTTTCCATTACACAACAATTTACAATATCTATGTGTCAAATCAAGCCTCCAAACTTTCAAATACAAACCAAAAAAAAAAAGTTTAAAACATAAAAAGGAAAAAGAAAAAGATTTGTGGAATCATAATATTATGGACTCTGATTTCCCACCTTTTAATCGCCTCCCCTATTTCTCTTACTCCGCTATTTTTCCCAATAAAGAACTACACCGGAAAAGGAGAAAAAATTCTAATGATGCACAAATATAAAAAATTTCACATGACTGAAAATACAACCTCCGAGGAGTCACCGTCATCAGTGATGGTGGACTTTTTAATGAACTCTATACAGTCCGCAACAGCTTCACTGTGATGATGTTCATGGGAATAATAAGACCGATGAGAAATCGGCGATGAATTAGATCGTTGTTCTTGCTGTTGTGTAGACTTCGACATAGCAGATAACATGATCAACCGGAAAACGGCTTCCCGGAATCGATCCAGCAACGTCATCGGCGATAACCGGTTACTTTTCCGGCTGCAGTTGTTGCCTCTGACTTTCGGCATGCAAAATGGATTCTTCATTCTTCTTTTTCTTCCTTTTGATTTCTCCATTGAAATGAATAATGATAGATGCTTTTTGGATGTGTATATGTGTAGGAATCTATTAGCGATGTTCCAAGCACATGCTGTTTAATATATAGTACGTAGAGAATGGGCTGTTGTTAAAGTTGGAGCTGCTTAAATTAAAGATTAAAAAAAGGGGACAATAACAGTTTTGGTCCCTCTGTTATTAATAAAATTTGATTTAGTCCTTCTAATATTTAACAAATTATATATTTAGTCCATTTGTGTTATATTTGAATATTTTTAAAACCATATTATTGTAACAATATACGTTTAACATAACTCATTCATTATTAAATGTGGAAATAATTGATAAGTATGGTAAATTTGTGTATTAACAAGAAAATGGATCGAAAATGCATGTATTGATTAATTAAAAATTAAACTGTTTAGTCAAATAATATGATAAATATAATTAAAATTTATCAATAATTAAAGGATCAAAACAAAAGAAATTTTTTTGTTTGTGTCCTTAAATTATTATAATTATTATTAAGGCAAATTTTGAAATTTTTGGCTAATGGGCAAGTGCCGCATTATTATAAAGAAAACGATGATTGGTTAGTTTAAAAAGATGGTGTGAATATGAAATTGTGGTTAACATGATTGTTCTCTTTCCGTTTTTTTTTTTTAATTTTTTTTTTGCTTTACCAATGCTAACATGATTGTTCAATTAATTAGCAGAAAAACTAGTGGTACCTAATTTGTCCAATTTGCACTTTGCTTAGCGACAAAGTTGCATAATCATTAAGGCGCAGTCATCAAGTGTAATAACTGCTCAAACTTTTAATAATGCAAAGGCAATAATCTCAAAGTTTTTTCTTCAATCTCACGGTGGCACAAAATTAGGGACCAAGATGAAGAAAAATTACGCATGATAATTAAGGAAGCATTACGTGGTGTGATAGACCGACGAATTATTTTTGGAAAAAAAGCTTAAAGATAAATTTTGATTTCCATACCTCTATGTATTTATTGTCACATAAAGTAGACATTGTTTTGAACTTCGTTCATTTATATTTGTTGATTACATCAAAAATTAATAATATTTATTTTTACTCATTCCATTTAAAAAATCAAGAGATTATTTACTAATTTATATTTAGTTTACCGTTATTGTTAAGTACTATTCTCAATTTCAATTCATTTCTCAATTAGTGAGATAACTTATACATAATTAGGGGCGATGATAAAATAAAAATTAGTATTTTATTTATTATTTCTTAAATAGTATGTCAATTGTCAAACATGAACAAGTAGATATGGACGGAGAAAATATTCAATTACTTTCTAATCTAATCAAAATAATGTAAGTGATAATAATATTATTTTTATCCCCTAGGTGAATACTGGACATCTGATGGGAAAAAAATGTTCATATAATAAAAGCTATAGGTTATATTGTTTTAAGGTCATGATCAACTCATGTTTAATGTTGACTTTGCTGATGGGTTCTAATAAATTATTTTTATTACTCATATAGATATTCTTACAAAAAAAATAAAATAATTAATTTATACTATTTGTGAAAAAAATTCTGGTAATGAAAATAAATGGAAGGGGTACTATTATGGTCGAAAATCTTGCTGGAAATGCTGCGAATCATATTGAATTGAAGTCAACACTCAAAGCCAGAGGCAACGTACTCCAGAAATCCAGCAACTTCAAAGTTTAATTGTGTAACGAAAAATGACAACTAATTAAACGAATGGTCCCCTCACTCACTAATTAAACAATTTTCAAATTGTTCCATAGTTTTTTTAAAAAACTGAGACAAAGAATGGGAGTTAATA